GGCCAAACTATGGTGGAGGTAAGGAAGATAATGGTGACCTCCCTCAAAAGCTCCCATTAAAAGGTGCCACACTCAGTGCCTCTGACCCTGCAGCAGGCCACCGCCAACCCACGCCTCCACCAGAGACTCCTGGGCATTCATGGGCATGTCTGGGTCAGCTTCTTTTGGGGTTACTGCTCCTTTCTCCTGGGTCCTGGTGCACACAAGGTTCTGTTTGTGCCCTCCCAGAGTCTGTTTCCCCAGCCCTTTGTAAGTTCTGGTGGTTCTATGGTGGGGTTAATGGTGACCTCCTCCAAGAGGGCTTATGCTATGGCCAGGTCTGCTGCACCCAGAGCCCCTGTGGCAGGCCACTGCTGACCCATCCCTCCATAGGAGACCCTCAGACACAGTTCTGGCTCAGTCTCTGTGGGTTGGGCATGCATTTCGTGCCCTTCCCAGGTCTGAGCAGCTCAGGCAACCAAGTGCTTGGGGAGTGACTGTCCCACGTGGGCCGTGCATCTTAATCACCTCCCCAGTCCTGAATACTCAGTTTCCCCGGCGCTCCACGAAAGAACTGTCTCAGGTGTGCTGTATGTCTCCTCTGGAGAGCTGACCTCAGGCCGTGACCCTCCTGGCAGATGTCAGCCATCCAGGATCTCAGGAAGATGAGGTTAGCAGCTGGGAGCCTGCTCACAGGTTGGTGGAAAATGCCATTTCTGGGGCTGAGATTGTAGCAGCCCCTTGCCTTCTGGTTCTGGCTGTCACAAGCCTGCCTCTCTGCCTCTGGGTGAGAGGGGAGCTGGCCAGCTCCCCTTTGGTATTTGCCCAATCCTTGTTCTGTGAGTGGGCCAGGCTGTGCCTTAGGTTGTTAGGTTAGAGCGTTTCGCAGGGAAAGTTCTCTTTTCTGCAGTTATGGTTAGGTGTGTATTCTGTGGGTGTTTGTTTTTTTTTCTATTATGTTGCTTTCTGAGATTCCAAAATTACCCACAGACCCACCTGTGAGAGGGGTTCCTGCTGTGTGAAATCTTCTCCTCTTTCATGACTTCATGACTCCCTCCCCAGGACAGGTCTCCATCCCTAAACCTTTTGTCTCTTTTTTTTTTTTTTGTCTTTTATATTTTGTTCTGCCTCCTTTCAAAGAGAATAGGCTGCCTTTCTGGGTGCCTGGTGTCCTTCACCAGTGTTCAGAAGCTGTTCAGCATTCAAATGATCTTTTGATGAATTTGTTGGGGAGAAAATGGTCACCCCATCCTATTCCTCCACCATCTTGGCATGGAAGAGATACCTGGAGTAACAGGCAAATTTGGCCTTTGAGTACAAAATGAAGCACATTAAAGGATAACAGAGTTTTGCCAAGAAAATGCACTTGTCGTAGCAAACACCCTTTTCCAATAACACAAGAGAAGACTCTACACATGGACATCACCAGATGGTCAATACTGAAATCAGATTGATTATATCCTTTGCAGCCAATGATGGAGAAGCCTTATATAGTCAGCAAAAATAAGACTGGGAGCTGACTGTGGCTCAGATCATGGACTCATTATTGCTAAATTCAAACTGAAATTGAAGAAAGTAGGGAAAACCACTGGACCATTCAGGTATGACCTAAATCAGATCCCTTACAATTATACAGTGGACGTGACAAATAGATTCAAGGGATTAGATCTGACAGAGTGCCTGAAGAACTATGGACAGAGGTTCATGACATTGTACAGGAGGTAGGGATCAAGACCATCCCCAAGAGAAAGAAATTCAATGAGGCAAAATGGTTGTCTGACAAGGCCTTACAAATACATGAGAAAAGAAGAGAAGTGAAAGGCAAAGGAGAAAGGAAAGATATTCCCATTTGAATGCAGAGCTCCAAAGAATAGCAAGGAGAGATAAGAAAGGCTTGCTCAATGATCAATGCAGAGAAATAGACGAAAACAATAGAATTGGAAAGGCTAGAGATCTCTTCAAGAAAATTAGAGATAACAAGGAAACATTTCATGCAAAGATGAGCACAATAAAGGACAGAAATGGTATGGACCTAACAGAAGCAGAAGATATTAAGAAGAGGTGGCAAGAATACACAGAAGAGATACACAAAAAAGATCTTCATGACCCAGATAATCACAATGGTGTGACCACTCACCTAGAGCCAGACATCCTGGAATGTGAAGTCAAGTGGGCCTTAGTAAGCATCACTATGAACAAAGCTAGTTGGAGGTGATGGAATTCCAGCTGAGTTATTTCAAATCCTAAAAGATGATGCTGTGAAAATGCTGTACTCAATACCCCAGCAAATTTGGAAAACTCAGCAGTGGCCAAAAGGGTGGAAAAAGTCAGTTTTCATTCCAATCCCAAAGAAAGGCAATGCCAAGGAATGTTCAATCAACCGCACAATTGCACCCATCTCACACACTAGCAAAGTAATGCTCTAAATTCTCCAAGCAAGGCTTCAATAGTACCTGAACCATGAACCTCCAGATGTTCAAGGTGGATTTAGAAAAGGCAGAGGAACCAGAGATCAAATTGCCAACATCCACTGGATCATCGAAAAAGCAAGAGAGTTCCAGGAAAACATCTACTTTTGCTTTATTGACTATGCCAAAGCCTTTGACCGTGTGGCTCACAACAAACTGTGGAAAATTCTTCAAGAGATGGGAATACTAGACTACCTGACTGGCCTCCTGAAGAATCTGTATGCAGGTCAAGAAGCAACAATTAAAACTGGACATGCAACAACAGGACTTGTTCCAAATCAGGAAAGGAGCACGTCAAGGTTGTATATTATCACCCTGCTAACTTAACTTATATGCAGAGTATAACATGTGAAATGCTGGGCTGTATGAATCACAAGCTGGAATCAAGATTGCTGGGAGAAACATCAACCTCAGATACACAGATAACACCACCCTTATGGCAGAAAGCAAAGAAGAACTAAAGAGCCTCCTGATGAAAGTGAAAGAGGAGAGTGAAAAAGTTGGGTTAAAACTCAACATTCAGAAAACTAAGATCATGGCATCCAGTCCCATCACTTCACGGCAAATAGATGGGGAATCAATGGAAACAGTGACAGACTTTATTTTGGGGGTCTCCAAAATCACTGCAGATGGTGACTGCAGCCATGATATTAAAAGACGCTTACTCCTTGGAAGAAAAGTTATAACCAACCTAGACAGCATATTAAAAAGCAGAGACATTACTTTACCAACAAAGGTCCATCTAGTCTAAGTTATGGTTTTGCCAGTAGTCATGTATGGATATGAGAGTTGGTTATAAAGAAAGCTGAGTGCCAAAGAATTGATGCTTTTGAACCATGGCATTGGAGAAGACTCTTGATTGTCCCTTGGACTACAAGGAGATCAAACAAGGGAATCCTAAAGGAAATCTGTCCTCAATATTCATTGGAAGGACTGATGCTGAAGCTGAAGCTCTAATATTTTGGCCACCTGATGTGAAGAACTGACTCATTGGAAAAGACCCTGATGCTGGGAAAAATTGAAGGTGGGAGGAGAAGGGGACAACAGAGGATGAGATGGTTGGATGGCATCACTGATGCTATGGACATGAGTTTGAGTAGTGTCTGGGTGTTGGTGATGGACAGGGAAGGCTGGCATGCTGTAGTCCATGGGGTCACAGAGTCAGACACGCCTGAGGGCTGAACTGAATAAGAAATAGGAGTAAGGGCAAGGAGAAGGTTTGCAGCATCAAATAGGGTATTGATGATAGTTAAATGAAAACTGGAGGAGATAAAGAAGTGCGTACCTGAGAAAGAGACATTCGGGGCAGACAGTATAGTTAGAAGACAAGCCTGTGTTCATTGGAAGGAATTTGGGTTTTACTCTGAATAAGTGCAAGGTTGAAAGAGGAAGGACATGATTTGAGTTATGTTTTAAATGGATCACTCTGAATCCTGGGATACAAGAACAGAGCAGGGAAATTTGATGTAGGCAAGTGCAGTAACTCGAGTGGGAGGTAGGGTGCCTCACACTGGGATATAGAGAGGAGATGTTGAGATGTGATCATGCTATGTATATATTTTGAGAATAGAGACAACAGGCTAAGCTTGCCCATTTGAAGCAGATATAAGAAAAAGACAGAAATGTCCTAATTACTGCAATGATGGAGCTATCATGAACTGAGTTGGGGAAGGCACAGATAGAATGGGGTAGGGTGAAAGTAGATGAAATCAGAAGTTCAGCATATGAAGACATGTTCATATTGACTAATTATAAGAATAATGCAGAGCCACATGAAGTGTGGCTGTTCCCACCCTGAAATATTTTACTATATATTGCATTTTCTGGAAAATGCAAGAAGAATTTCAAAGTAAAAAGGGGGATATGAAGTCTAGGAGGAGAGGTTATCCAGAAGACTGCAGCGTAGGAATTAAAGGCTTTAAAAAATTCTGTTGTTGTTTTGCTGCTTAGTCATGTCTGACTCCTTTATGAGCTCATTGACTGCAGCCCGCCAGGCTTCTCTGCCCATGGCATTTCCCAGGCAAGGATACTGGAGTCGGTTGCGATTTCCTTCTCCAGGGGCTTGTCCTGACCCAGTGGTCAAACCCGCATCTCTTGCGTCACAGGCAGATTGTTTACTGCGGCAGGGACTTACATAGTCAAAATGTGGATGAATGTAGTAAAGCTTGTTCTAGTAAAGCTTGTTCACCATGATCTGCCTTATCAGCAAATCTTAGGAGAAAGGGCAGAGACACAGATGCAAAGAACAGACTGCTGGACTCTGTGGGAGAAGGAGAAGGTGGGATGATTTGAGAGAACAGCACTGAAACATGTATATTATCATATGTGAAACAGATCACCAGCCCAGGTTGGATGCATGAGACAGGGTGCTCAGGGCGGGTGCACTGGGATGACCCTGACGGATGGGATGGGGAGGGAGGGTGCAGGGAGGCTCAGGATGGGGAACACATGGACACCCGTGGCTGATTCATATGAATGTATGGGAAAAACCACTTAAAAAGTAAAATAAAATGTCATTTTATGGGCTGTTGGAAGGAGAAATTCTTTGAATCATTACCCTTTTTCACTAAACTTCCCCAACACTCTTCTAAAGGTGCTCATCACTTCCTTGTTTCTCAAGCTATAGATTAAGGGATTCAGCATTAGGGTCACCACAGCATAGAATAGAGCAACCCTCTTCTCCTGTTCTGCGGAGGAGCCAGCCGTGGGTCTCAAGTATGTGAAGATGGCTGTGCCAAAGCACATGGAAACCACAGTGAGGTGAGCGGCGCACGTCCCAAACGCTTTGCGGCGTCCCCGGGCAGAGCGAATACGCAGGATAGTAGCGACTATGTGACCGTAGGAGAATAGAACAAGGAAACAGGGAAGCATGATGACCAGAAATCCTGAGAAGGCCACCATGACCTTGTTGAAGGAGGGGTCCACACAGGTCAGCCTCAGCATAGCCAACATCTCACAGGCAAAGTGATTAACAACCTTGCGGCACAGAGGTAGCTGAAAGGTGATGATGGTCTGCATCAGCGAATTCATGAAACCAGCCCCCAAGCAGCCTGCAGCCAGCCCCAGGCACAGCTCTCGGTGCATGATGACCGTGTAGTGCAGGGGGCGGCAGACGGCCACGTAGCGGTCATAGGCCATGGCCCCCAGCAGGAAGAACTCTGCGCTGCCCATTGCCAAGGAGATAAGCAGCTGGAGCACACAGCCGTAGAATGGAATGGACTTCCGGGCTGATAGGAAGTGAACGAGCATCTGGGGGACGGTGCTGTTGGTATAACAGACGTCCACAAAGGACAGGACACTGAGGAAAAAGTACATGGGTGTGTTCAGCCATCTGTCCAGTCTGATAAGGAGTATTATCAGCAAGTTCCCCAGCACAGTCACCAGATACATGGCCAGGAACAGGACAAAGAGGGAGACCTGGGTCTCCCAGAGGCTGGACAGCCCCAGAAGAATGAACTCACTCATCCATGTCTGGTTTTCCCTGCCCATGGGCCTCTGAAGACCAAACCCAAGTTATAAATTGAAAAAGACTAGGTACTTAAGGTGCCAGAGGACCTTATGGGGTCATTTAGACAAAACAGCCATCCAATATTAAGTGGTGTACATTTTCAGATCATGTGTCTCCTTCTGGGTTTGGGACCACTGTAGAATGCACGATGTGGCTCAGATCCAAGGAAAACAGAAAACTCTTCTCATTCCTTAAGTGGGAAGATTTTCATTAAAATGCTTAGATAATTGAGTTAAAAATGTTAACTGTAAAAAGTGATTTTTTTCGTTAAAGCCAACTCCTAACTGTGGAGTTTATTTCTTTGTTAGATACCAGTTTTTCCCTTCTTAGTATCTCAAAATCCATATTGAATGCAACTTAACAGGGATGAATGGTTTTAATCACTTTTTAAATTCTGCATTCTTCGATTGTGAAAATGAGATGTTAAGTTTCCACCCTTTTAAAATCACAGATTTGGGGTTATAAGTTAGAAGATAGCAAATATAAAATAGTTTTTAGGAGCTAGAAATTGTCAAAAATTACATCTCCAATTCAGTGAGATGAAAAACAAAGACCTGAGTGATCAGACTCAGTTTTGAGAAACCTTCACATATTTGTCTTTTATCTGGATGAGAAAATTAGGGGGAAGAATCTTCTATATTGCATTTCCCCTCCCTTGAAAGAACAGCAGTGCATGGGGTCAACAACAGAGGATGACTGTCAAGAAACAAAGATGAATTAACCATCTTCCTTAGTGATAAAAGCTCAGATAGTTGCCACGTGTGCTAGCTAGCCTATTAACTAAATAAGGGAAAACTGGTTGCACATTCCTTCCAATTCTATTTGTATATATTCTGGATAGGGATTGTTGTGGTTTGGAGACTATAAAATGTGATGGAAAAATTAGAGTTAACTCAGTGAAATGACTGATGATTACCTCTTTCCTTTAGCCCTCTTTCCTTTTATCTCCATCTGAAATATGTGACTGTCCCCTGTGCCTTAGAAAACTTTGTCTTTTCTCATCCTTATGCTATGCTCCCTCTATTGTGCCTAACATGACCAGAAAGTAATAGCCTACTCTGCTCAATACTACCCCCAAACTTGCTAATCCTGCTGATGTATCGGTACTTCGGAAAGCGCAAGAGTTTGAGTATTATCTCTGGAACACTTAGTAATCTTACTTGGGCCTTATTCAAATCACAAGTGATTTCCAGGAATCTCACAGACCGAACAAAGCCCACTCTAGATTTTCCACATGCTCTGCCCCTCAAATTACTCTGTCCTTTGGGTAGAGAAAGTGAAATGCAAGCACACCTATCCCAAGAAAATGTTACCTACTTGCTGCCTGTGATCAGAGAGGGTCATTGAATATATGATGAAAATTATACTTTGTTTTGAGGGTATTTGAGGGCAGTTATCTTATAACTGCAGATAATGCCAACGGTGCTATCCGGCAGAGAAGGGTCTATGGAAATTTGCATTTGATAATCTTTCTACTGTCTATGAATGAATTAAGCTTGATAAACCATTCCCATTGCAAAAGACAATTTATGTAAGTTACAAGAGGAGGCAATAAAAGTACAAAATGTTCTTTAATCCTTTAGAATTTACTCTAGAGCTTCAGATTAGCAAGTCACTTTGTAATATTTATATCAAAGAAAGAGGAAACCTACCTGTTTATCCCCAGTGAAAAGTAAAAAGTTGGAATATGAAATTATCACTGGTGAAGACCTCGGGTACCAGAGAGAGGTAAGTGACTTCAAAGGGGAAAATCTTTGAACTGTCAGTGGAATATGACCATATACATATAACATTTTAATAGATAATATTTATAGAAAGGTATGTGAAATAATCTTTAATCCTGCTATAACACAAAAAACAATTCATGTAACACAAGTTCTCTGGGAGAGGGCTAAAAGAAAAAACAAAACAATCCAGGAGGTAGCTGATGATTATTTAAGGTATTCTCAGGAACCAAATAAGGAGACTTTGCTGAAAAATCTGATGACAATCTCTTGTGGGTTTGAGGCTTTCACCTCTTAAAAACAAATAATAGTTAAGGGCAAAAAAAAAAAAATAGTTAAGGGCTTGAGGAAGAAAATATAGTAATCCCTGACCTTGGGTCAGTAATTCCCCTTAAAGGCTCAGCAAGTTATTGATACAAATAGAAACACTCATTGTTAGCATGTCATGTTTCTGCATCATCTTCATGTTTTTAAAGTGCCATGCCCTGGGGTAAATGAACTGCTTTGTCAATGAACTTTCATTTCCCAGTTCAACTATCATTACCTACTCTTGCCCCTCTGTATCCATGGGATTGGTTCCAGGATTCCAGTGAACACCAAAATCCATGGATGTTCAGCTCCCTTATAAAAAGTGGTCTATTATTGCATATAACAAACACACATGCTCCTGTACACTTCAAGTCATCTCTAGATTGCTTGTAATATCTAATACAAAGTAAATGTGATATAAATAGTTGCCAGTATGCAGCAAATTCAAGTTTTGCTTTTGAGAACTTCCTAAAATTATTTTTAATATTTTCAATCTATGGTTGGTGAATCCACAGATGTGGAACCTGTGAATTTGGGAGTCTAGCTGTAGCTTCTTCATCTGTCTAAACACAGCATATATTCAAATCTGTCCCAATTCATTGGAGTGAGGGAAGTAGAAAGAGTGATGGAATTAGGATATGACATCAGTAGTAAAAAGAATAATTTTTTAATCAAAAATAAAGATTCAACAGCAAAACAAGTAAAACGATTAAAATTTTTGAAAATATGATACATAAATAAAAGTTAAAAACAGACTGTCACAAATAAGGTGGAGGTGTTATAAGTGACAATAACAATAAAATTTAACAGCATTCCTGAACCACCCTTCCTTCCCAGAACTGTGATTCAATCTCCCTAAAGAAATGTTCTTCTCAAAAAAGAAGCAGGCAGGAAAGCTTGAGATTTCTCCCAAATGTTAACTGGCTAAGTTGCTATCTCCACCCAATTCCTACTTCCTAATGCATACCTACACGGCTTGGAGCGACAGAAAGTTTAAAGCCAGTTATCCAGCTGAACTTATCACCTTCTGACCATCATTGCTTAAGAATGACTGGTTAACACAAACCTGTCCTCTGGTCCAGATTTCCAGCAGTGTACATGTGCTGGGGGTGCAATGCGACACAGGGAATACAGCCTATAGTAATTTATGTTCAATGATTCCATGAATGTAGTAAAAGTCCTATGCTAGGTACTTCATTTCTCAGAGGTATTCAAGAGAAATTTCTCACCAGTTAGGCTATTCAAATGTATCTTCTTACAACAAATTGTTCAAATGTGACCTTTATCTCTATACTAACCAAATTCGACCCAGCTGTCACATGAGCCTAGAAAGAAGCTGTGTGTTAAGAAACCATTGCTTCTTGACCATAATCCTAAGAACCCAATGGAAAGCCTCTGATCATGACTGCCCTACCTCCAGGACAAGAGGCCAGCACCGCCCCAAGAAGAGTTGGGCTGAGCAAGATGTGGGATCATCTTTTCCCTCAGAGACAAAATCTCTGCAGGCCAATTATGCTGTGTTTGTTAGGTTTCTGTTTTTTCTCTTTCTCTATATGGTAATTCTCTCACCTTAAACTCTTACCTGCTTTTAAAGAATTTACAAGTGAGAATAATTTTTTAATGAACCAGAAAAGAGATGAGAATCTGAAGCCCTGGTTCCCCTGGAGACATTCTCCTGTCTTTGGTGAAATTTCACTTTAAGGAAGTTAAAATTGGCCCATGACTTTCTGTCCATGTACTCATGATTGAGACTATTTGAACCAAAGTGTCCAATTATTCATTACCCATCACAAGCAAAGAAATCGAAACTGTAATCAGAAATCTTCCAGCAAACAAAAGCCCAGGACCAGATGGCTTCACAGCTGAAGTCTACCAAAAATTTAGAAAAGAGCTAACACCTATCTTACTCAAACTCTTCCAGAAATTGCAGAAGAAGGTAAACTTCCAAACTCATTCTATGAGGCCACCATCACCCTAATTCCAAAACCAGACAAAGATGCCACAAAAAAAGAAAACTACAGGCCAATATCACTGATGAACATAGATGCAAAAATCCTTAACAAAATTCTAGCAAACAGAATCCAACAACATATTAAAAAAATCATACACCATGACCAAGTGGGCTTTATCCCAGGTATGCAAGGATTCTTTAATATCCACAAATCAATCAATGTGATGCACCACATTAACAAATTGAAAGATAAAAACCATATGATTATCTCAATAGACACAGAAAAAGCCTTTGACAAAATTCAACATCCATTTATGATTAAGACTCTCCAGAAAGCAGGAATAGAAGGAACGTACCTCAACATAATAAAAGCTATATATGACAAACCCACAGCAAGCATTACCCTCAATGGTGAAAAATTGAAAGCATTTCCCCTGAAATCAGGAACAAGACAAGGGTGCCCACTCTCACCACTACTATTCAACATAGTTTTGGAAGTGTTGGCCACAGCAATCAGGGCAGAAAAAGAAGTAAAAGGAATTCAGATAGGAAAAGAAGAAGTGAAACTCTCTCTGTTTGCAGATGACATGATCCTCTACATAGAAAACCCTAAAGACTCTACCAGAAAATTACTAGAGCTAATCAACGAATACAGTAAAGTTGCAGGATATAAAATTAACACACAGAAATCCCTTGCATTCCTATACACTAACAATGAGAAAACAGAAAGAGAAATTAAGGAAACGATACCATTCACCATTGCAACAAAAAGAATAAAATACTTAGGAGTATATCTACCTAAAGAAACAAAAGACCTATACATAGAAAACTATAAAACACTGATGAAAGAAATCAAAGAGGACACAAACAGATGGAGAAATATACCGTGTTCATGGATTGGAAGAATCAATATTGTCAAAATGGCTATACTACCCAAAGCAATCTACAGATTCAATGCAATCCCTATCAAACTACCAACGGTATTTTTCACAGAACT